AGAATACCCTTGCACTCGAGAGAATAGTAAAGAGACAAAGAAACAAAGAAACAACAGCAAGAGGTTTGATAAGTTATATATATATATATATATATATATATATATATATATATCCATCCTAAAGAGTTAAAATTACAATCACAGCATTTTAGGACTTTCAGAAACCTTAGAGAAAACTAGTCCAGCTTCCTTGTTGTGTACAGTGTGATAAGTAAAATGTGGCTCAAAGATAAAATTTTGTGACAAGTCACTAGCAGTGATTCTCAGTTTAGCAGTCTTTCCTTTGCATCATGCTGTTTCTCTGTATACATAAACTCAGTTACTGAAGGTATATGACAGATACAAATATTATGGTTTTGCAAGTGTATATAGTATATGGTATAATATCAACCATGTGATATAAGAAAACAAATTGATTCCTATAGCTCAAAGCTTTAAACTACCTGGTAAGTTTTTATTGGAGAAATTAAGACTTTGAGGTGCCAAATACAAAGCAAACAACCTACCAACCAAAAAACCCTTCAAGCACTAAGCTCTGTGGTAATTCATCCTACAAATACTTAGTAAACGCTTAACTCAGCAGTAGGTATCCTAAATTCTCATTGTCATAGTATCATGTAACTAACATTCATAGTACTTATCGTAATTGCAATTTCACATTTATTCACATTGATGTGATTCATTCCTGTCACTCCCATTAGTGGTAAGGACTGAGATAGAGTCAGTGTTTTGATCCATGATTTATCACTACTGCCTAACACCAGTGCATGAAACAACAGAAGTGCTCAGTGAATGAATGAATGAATGAATGATCAATCAATCAATCAATACACCAAAAGGGCCCTGCTGCTCTGATTGATTTTATAACAAATAAATAAAATGTAAAGTGGTAACTATAATAAGTGCTATGGAGAAAAAAAACAAGGGGCTATAAAAACTCAAGTGATTACTCAGAGGAGGGAGGAGCCAATGGGGGGAAGGAAGAACACGCAGAGGAAAAGCCTGTGCAAAGGCTCAGGACAGCACGAAAATAAAACAAGCACTACAAATAAAATAAGGCGGGAGGGGGACAAAGCTGTGAGGTGAAGCTGGCGGGGCGTGGAGTAAGCAATGGCCAGACTATGATGGCTTTGCTGATCAGGTTAAGGAGGCCTGTCTTTGCGCTAAGAGCAGGTGGAAAGCAATGAAGTATTCAAGGGAGTGGTGAGGAAGTTGAATGTGACATAATCCAATCTGCTGTTCAGAAAGATTACTCTGGTTACAGAGGGGGATTGGCATGGCTGCAGTGGCCAGGTAGGAGGCTATTGCAGTAGTACAGTCAAGAGATTATGGCAGCCTGGAGTAACATTATGAGGGTAGAGATGAAGAAATGTAGATGAATTCAAGAGTTATTTAGCGGCAATGTACTGATAGATTGGAAGGGGATACAAGGTTAAAGAGGGGAGTGTTGGAAGACTCTTTGGTTTCTAGCTTGTTTACTAGATGGATGGTGGCACCAGTTTCTAAAACAGGGAACACTGAAAGAGGACCAGGTTTGAAAGGGCAAGAACTTTTATACACGTGGAACACTTAGATGTGCAAATTGGTATAGAAAAGAAAACTGATAATGAGCACTTGCATGAGTTTCTCAGGTAAACTCTGAAATTCAGGGTAGAGGTAAATAACTTTATATAACTGTCTCTCTGATTTCTGAATCCAGTCATTCAGACTTCTACATACTATCAATGTCATCTCACAAGTCTAAAGAAAAGACCCCCACAGTGGGTGGCAGGGACGGGGGACTTCTATCTTACCCCTACTCTAGCTAGCTGCCTTGTGAGGAAACCAGAGAGCTGCTAAGGCTAGGAAGACTGGGTGTTTAAAAATGGCAGTGTTTTATGTGACTAGACTAAAAGAAGATTCAGACTCACAATATGCAGAACATGGTAGGGGAAATATAGGGTTAAAGAGAGGAGAGGGATAATTCCTATTTTTTCTCATGGATGCTTCACATCCGAATGTCTCCTACAACCAAGTAACTTCTAAGAGGTAAAATGGATAGCATGGCACATGCTCTTCATTTCTGTATTAAAAAGATGTGCATTCACTCTGGATGGCTAACACCCTAATGCATATGATAGTGTTGATGAGAATGGAAGGGCTCAAGGATTCAGACAACTAGGATAGTAAAAGTAGGGCCTGTCTAGAGGCAAACCTAAAGGTTTACAAATGATGTAGCGCTGGTGCATCCCAAAATGACACATTGTGCCCCACATGACTATGTCCTGTGTTCCAGTAACATGTTGCAAAACAGCATCACATGGGCTAAATTACACAATTAACTGAGATACTACATGTGTAGTACTTAGCTCAGTGCTGGCAGTTAATACACAGTTACCAAATGTTATCATTCATTCTATGCTGCCACTGGGTCAAAATAAATCTGCCCTATTGGTATGAATTATGTGACCTATAAGAAGTCTGAATGAAGGAAGTTATGCCTTTACAAATTAACTGGATATAGTTTTAAAAAATTTGAATGATAAAGAGGGGGGATCAAGGAAAAGGTTTTTTTCCTTAAACTTCAGTTTAAAACATACTAGACAAAGTGTCATCACAGTGTGATGTGTGCTGTGTCATGAAACATCTTGGTTTGTAAACACTATATTTCAACACTAAGGAGGAAAAAACACATCTAACAATCAAAGAAAAAAGATATACTCACTTGTCAACTGAGCTTTGGATAATTTTTCACTACAACTATACGCAAGACTGCTTTCCTGCAGCTTTAGCCATTCCTGGGCTTGGAAGAGGTAGAGTTTAGCTTCTTTCCCAACAGCTATTGCTATGTTGTTGATTCTGACACACAGAAGAGCATGGTCACCTGGACATGAAAACAAAAATTATCAACTAGTTTGGTCTGTACAAAAGTGAGGTGGTAGGAAATTCAACACCTCTACTTATCAAAACAGGAATTTAAAAACACAATTTTTCTTATATCTCACCTAATTAGGTAGATCACATTAAAACATCCCATTCAGATGCAAGTCAAGAGATTATGCTCATCAGTGTGTGGTGTTTCCCTTATACTTCAGCTGATAACTGATGACATTTCACTGAATAAACAGCAACATATGCTATATGTGGACCTTCGCTATAATAAAATTTTTGCCTCATTTTACAACCAGTCCACATGTCTTTAACATCTGTTCATAATATATAGAAATATCCTGCCTAAGTTTCTTTTTTTTAAATATAACAGTTGTTAATACTTAATTATACTTTTAATGTAAAAAATAAACATAGCTAATAGCAAGAAAGTTTAATTAGTTCTGAGGTAGACATTTTAGCTTGACACAAAATTTGACATGACTTTCACAATAAAACTTTCAGAATATATGTTGTAAGACTGCTATAGAATGAGCCTGGCTACACACACCAACTACATTTAAGGCCTAGGAATAAATGGCAAAAAATAGTTGCCTCCATGGGAATGGACTCGGTGAGAAGTAAAGCAGGAGACTGTTTTTTTCATTTTTCTTTTTAAGATTTTCTATTCTTATTGCTGTTGTTTTTTATTTTTGTTATTATAATTATCACTTTGATTGTAATTATCACTTTAATAGATATTACAATTTACATGTATAATATGTATCAAAGAATGTCTAAGTCTCCTACATGAATTGATTACATTATAAATTATCGAAACTCTAAAAAGTGACTTTAAGGCCTTATTAACATCTTAAATCTCATTCTTAATTAGAGTTCATTATTTTGGTATAGTTTTGGTATTACTGCCTTACTGAATTCAAATGCACAGAAAATTGGTAATTTTATGTGTGTGTATTGTGTGTGTGTGTGTGTGTGTGTATACACACACACACACACGCACATACATACACTGGGGGTGCCAAGAAATGTATACATATGACTTGTGTTCATCTTTTGTTATTGGTATATATTATTACAATTTTATTTATTTATTTATTTTTTAAAAAGATTTTATTGGGGAACTGGGGGGAGGGGAACAGCGTTGGGGAATCAGGGAAGGGGAACAGACATGTAGATAAATTGCTGTTTTGTTCTTCAGTCTAGTTGTGGAGTATGTCGCTTCACTGGCCCATGTTGGTATGATCATTGTGCTCTTCCCGGGTGGGGCAATCAGTCGCCGGTCATTGATCGGCAGTTCACAGCGGCTCCTGGCAGCTCACGCTGGCTGCCACCCACTCACATAGCTTACAGCAACCCACTGCAGCCCTGCTGCAGCCTACACTGTCGCCAGCGACTCACAGCAGCCCAGCTCCAGGTTGAGCTGTTGTTCAGCATCTTAGCTGTAGAGGGCAGTGTCACTGGCCCTCAATGTGGGATCCGAACCACAGCCCTGCTGCTCAGAGCTGGCGTCCCAAGAGAGCTCTTAACCAGCTGAGCCACTCGGCTGGCCTATTACAATTTTAATACGGTTCTTTCCTTTCTTAAAATGTGTATACTTTTGGCACCCTCTCTCTATATAATGTGTGATCAAACAATATGGTGAATGTTTAAATAAAAAATAATTATTACAGTAAAAGACTCAATGCCATTAATCCTCCTCAAAATATTTCCGCTTACTTTGAACACATTTATCCCATCATTCTTGCCACTTTGTGAAGCAGTTCTGGAAGTCCTCTTCCATGAGTTGTGCTGTCCTGGCTGTCTCCAGGTCCTGACTAGATTCAAAACGTTTACCTTTCATGGTCATTTTGACTTTGGGGAAGAGCTCAAAGTTGCACAGTGCCAGATCCGGTGATCAAGGTGGATGAGGACACGGAGCCTCTCCATTGTGATCACAAAATACAGTGAATGCTGCTGTCAAGTACCATCCAACGGAAAGGCAGGGATCGTCAATATGGGAAGTGGTGCCTCATACCTTAGTAACACTGTGTGACAAGTTTCAACTTGTTCGGTTCAGTCAGTCGGGTGTGAGCTATGGTTGAGAGAAGGTGTGTTTTAAAGTGTGCCATAAATCATCCTCTATCATGACAATGCTCCATGTCACACATCGCTTCTGGTATGGCAATTTCTCTAGAATAAATACATTATGGTGTGTCCTCATCCACCTTATTCACCAGATTTGGCACCATGCAACTTCTGGCTCTTCTCCAAAGTCAAAATAACTCAAGACATTGAGGCAGCCATGACAGTGCAACTAGAGACACTCACAAAAGAGGACTTCCAGAACTGATTGAGAAAGTGGCATGAACAATGGGATAAGTGTTTAAAGCGAGGGGGAGGATTTTGAGGGGAGTTAATGGCAATGTGTCTTTTACTGTAATAATTTTTTTATTTAAACATTCACCATATTTTTTGATCACATCTCATACATATACACATATATACATAGAGACAAAAAAATACGTGGAAGACTCTATTCCTCAAACTTTCTTGAGAAATCTGGATTTACTACATGTTTCTCTGTTTACCAAGTAATCGTTACGAAATAACAGGATGATCTAAGTCTCACTTTTAGACATGAGTAAAAACTCATGTCACAGCTTCCATACATCCCAGATTTTCCAGCACTGTCCAGATTGTGTCATTTATTGTAGTGAAACTGTTCACTGTCAATACTCAAAAGTATAGTTAGCGCCAGTTGATTAAGAAACTGAAAATGTTAACCAAAAACTAATAAAACTGCTTCTAGAGTTTCTATTTCATTCACCCAAAGTCTATTCCACATTGGATTTTGTAAAACTGAGTTGCATCTCCTTTCCTCAGCTATTTTGAGAACTTCAGATTAAAAAATAAGAAATTCAGTTTCCCCTCCCTTTAACCAGTTTCTCCAATAGTTTAAACTGTTTTCCCACACCAAATAGCTTCTCATTTCTATTATCTTCTAAAAATCCTCTCTGGGACAATATGCTGATCTTGCATCTTTTAATGCTAATGACCATATGAATCAGGATCCTAACCTCATAAAGGCAAATGATTATTTGAAATACAGTAGTAGCCAAAGTAAGAGTATGTACCAAGAAAAATTTTGAGGATGCAAATACAGCAAAAGTTAGAATGAATTATAAATTCATTAATTGAAGAATTATTGATTTTTGAGGGAGACCAGAAGGTAAGAATCAAATGCAGTTCTAAGTTCAGAAGGGTCACAGAGGATACAAATTATGAAGCTCATGATCCTTAGGAAATCTACTCCTGTAGTAGAGGAGTAACAAACTGTTCTAGCAACAGTGACAACTAGATTAGATTATCAGGCTTTATTTGGTTTCCTCTCTACTGCAAGTAGGTTTTATTAAATGAGATTAAACAAACAACAAACTCAGGAAATCTACGTTCTGGGCCTTAAATGCGCACGTAATTACAGTGCCTTAGTGTATATAATCAGGCTGAGACACAAGTGAGCCAACGATGCTTCTCTGAGAGAAGGATCTCGAAAAATGCAGCGGTCCCGTCATCTGCACGTTTGTACGGAAAGGGTTGGGGAGGCGGTCCTTTAGGTGCAGAATACAATCCGTAAGCGAGGGAGGGTGCTGACAAGGATGTAGGGGGCAGCAATGGCAGGGCTGGCAATAAACGCATCCCCACGATTCCAGTGAGCTACGGTTGGGGAGGGCTGCCGGCGACGCTGGAAGTCCAGGTGAGCTGGGTGAAGTTCCGGGCTGGCGCACCGCGGGGAGGCGCGGCCCACCGGATGTGTCCACGAGCCTTCATCCCTCTCCCCGCCCCAGCACCTACCGTGGAACTGGAAGTGGCCGATGCTCTGGCCCTCAGTGTCTCGGGCCGCGGTGCTGCTGAAGCTGCCCCGCAGCGTCTTACCCTGGCTGCCCGGCGGCCACCAGCAGCAGGCGAGGGCCACTGCCAGCAGCCGCAGCCCCCCCATCCCCGCCTGCCCCCCGGCACCCACGCTGCGGACCCTAACCGCCAGCGGCTGCCAGTCCCACGTCGGCAGCAAGGGAAGGGGGAGGAAGGTGGAGGACCCGCGTCGCGGACCCGCCCCCAAGAGACTGACAGCCAATGAGGCGGGCCCCTTCGCCACGGACCAGGAACATTCACCAATCAGAGTGTGAAGTGGGCGGGACGTGCACAGTGCGAGTCCCATCATTCCCCGGCCTGTTGGCTAGTTCCCGCCTTTTTTTATGGAGAATCGGGAGGATGTTGCTTCAGGATAAGGAAAAATTATTGCCCTCGTCGTCCCAGTGAGTGGTGCCATTGCGCATGCGTGGGAGCGCCGGCACGAGCCCGTAGGGCTTCCCAGAGTCCTATGGGGTTCCGAAAAAACTAAGAAACACATGACGGAACCATTTCTGGTGAAGAAAGGAAAACCGCAAAGCCCTAGGTGCCTAAGAAGCCTATTGGACGTTTCCACTTGAATGTCTCAAAGATACTTAACTGTACGTATCCGGTTCAACGCTTGACACCTCCAACTGATTTTTTTCCTCCTAGGTTCTCTGTCTTATTGAATTATGTCATCATACCGCAGGCCAGACAGCTGGGAATTATAGCGACCCCCTATCCCTTAACAGTGCCACGTCCAGTCAGCTCTATTCAGATGTTTGTTATGGCCTCTTCCGGGCGGTGATGGTCGGAAGCAGCAGCCCTATCCTATCCAGGCCAACATGATCTCATCTTACTTGGGCTATCTCAGTTGACCTGCGTACAGTCTCAATTTTCTCCCGTTGGCTACACACAACCCATCTTTACCATAGAGCCACGGAAAGCTTTGGGAAAAGCAAATTGACTGCGTCACTTTACTATAAAGATTCTCGATTGCCTTTAATACATAGCCCAAACTCTTTAGAATATAGCTTTCAAATCTCTCAAAGCTCCATCTCTTGACTTTTTTTTTTTTTTTTTTAATCTCCATCCATACTGAGCCACTGTCAGTTCGGTCAGTTCGCTGAATACTCCAAGTCCTCCTCTTTGGGCCTGTCGCACTTGCAGTTCCCCCTAGCTGGAGTTCTTGTCTTATTCTACTACTCAACCTCCATATCACCTTCCATTTTCTACTTTTCTACCCCAAAGCTCTTTTAGAAGCCTTTCTCAAACCCCCAAGTTGGTGTTAGATGCCGCTGGAATGGGAATCCCTTACTTCTCTACCCAAGCACTTACCACAGGTATTGTACATGTCTGTTGATTTATCTGAACCCCCTACTATACTGTCAGCTCCAGTTGGTCAGAGACTGTCTGTCCCCATGGAGTAGAAGCTTAACATTATTTCATGAATAAATGCATATAAATTATTTTCACTCGACAACCACCTTTTATTACATGTAAGCATGTTCTCACAACAGACCTCACCTTTTAGGAAAAACCTTGGGGGAATACTTCCTATCATATAGCCATAATTTTCTGGCAGACCAGGAATAAACTGGAGGTATTAATTAATATTATGAGATTTTTAAAACCTACATTATACTTTAATTACAAAAGCAATTCATGCAACTTAGAAAAAATTCACAATCAAAAGTATATGAAGTATACTTTCCCTGCTTATACCTGATACCCAAAGGTAACCCTTGTTAATAGGTTAGGGTGGATCCCTTCAGACATGCATTTACAAACATATGATGGTATTTGCCAACCAAGAACAGAAATAAAATTTGTCCTGGAAGAGAATCAGAACATGGGCCTTGAATGCTGTGAGGGCTCTTTTTCTGTCTCTTCTCTCTTCTCTTTGTTATCAACTTTGTTTTTCCCTCTCACTGAAGACAGGTCTTTTGATTCCTTCATTCATTTGAATGAATATGGCCACCAGCAAGTCCAAAATTTGTAGATCGTAGCGTTCAAGAGCAACCAGACTATTCTAGAACGCCAGTCCAACTCCATATCCCAGGAAGAGGCTTCAATTGGCCTGGGGTGAGTCAGATGCCCATCCTGTGGCCTGCCTGGAGTGGGTCAAGTTGGGGAGATGGTAAAGGCGGGAGGGGAAGTCTGGTCAGATAAAACCATAAGTATCCACTACAATAAATTTGATTCTCATTTCATGTTGGTACATTCTTAAAAAGGCTACATTGTATTTAAAAAGTACAACAATTTTAGCAGACATGTATATTGTGTCCAATTTTTCATTACTACAAGCAATGTAGCATGAACATATTTGTGTTTTTCTGTAATCTATATTATATATCATGGAATTTGGGGATCGTAGGGTATTTACATTTGAATTTTGCTTATATATTACCAATTTGCCTACCAAAATGTTGTAACAAATGACACTTCTACATATACTAGGCATTCCCATTCTTTTTAGGCTCTCCCAACACAATTAGGTTAAAAAAAACCAAAACATCTACAAGATATTTATTCATGTATACAACAGTATTTACTGATGGTTTATTCTGTGCCAGGCTTGGTCCTAGGGCTTTGGGATTATATCAGGAAACAAAGTCCCTCGACCCATGGAGCAGGAGAATGAGCAAGGAATTTAACATAAATGTTGATAATTGCTATGGAGAAAAATAAAGAAGGGTAAATCGGTTTGGCACGGCTGGGTTAGAGTTTGCTATTTTAATTAGGGTGGTAAAGGAGTAGGGTGACATTCAAGCCAAGAACTGAGGTAAACTAGGCAGACATCTGGGGAATAAGCATCCAGGCCCAAGGGAAGTAGCATGCCAGGCCAGTTTCAAGGAAGAGCAAGGACAGTGGCTGGGGTAGATTGAGCAAGAGGGAGAATAGTAGGAAAAGGTCTAAGGGTAAGATCTAGGGAACATGTTTACGAGGGTTGTAAGCAGCTTGTGCTATCTGTAATAACAATAACAGCAACAGCAAAAGGTCATTTTGAAATTAATTGTGACCTCCCATCTCTATACTTTGCAAGAGAGCTCCCCAGGAATTCTAGCTCAACTGGTGCATAATCTGTGGAGATCGCTGCAGTATAAGAATAAAAAGAAAGTAATCGTGGACAACTCCGACCATCTGTATATCCAAGTAAAGCCTAATTCATGCTGGTGACACTTGCCATGGAAAACGTTCCGGACCCTACTTTCCCAGACACACCTATTCGCCCCTAGCGAGCCAGGCGTTGGCTGAGAAGAGCAGTGCCTGAGCCTGCGCAGCCGAGGAACCCGCCCAGCCCGCCAATGGGCGGGGATAAGTCGGCTACGCTCGGGAAGCCGCTTCGGCCTGCCCCAGTGAACGTGTCGGGAGAGGGGTGCGTCGCAAAAAGTCGCGGTGGAACTTGCCTACGGTATACAGGCTTGTCGCTTTACGGTTCCAGGCACTGCTGAGCTGGGAGATGTCGGCTGCGGGCCTTGTGGAGCCCTTGGGTCCTCCCAGCAGCTTTGCGAAGCGGGTACTGGTGACCGGGGGTGCTGGTTTCATGTAGGTAACAGCGTCGCTGGCCGAGTAGTGGCTCCCCAGAAACCCCAACCTTTTCCTGCGGCTCTGCTTGCCCTTGGTAACCTGGGACCAGCCTTGGTTGTCTAATAGGGGAGGGTCTTAATGCACGACCGGAATCATCTTACCTTCTACCTGCTCCTTCCTCGGCCTGCGAAGACCTAGATCCTTTGAAACTGCGACTTCTTTAAAACGCCTTCCTCCCAAAGCAAAAGTGCTGTGGTACTATCCGCCCTGCTGTCTCGCCAGAGATGCGCCTGTCACCCTTCTGATTGTGCCCACAATTGCAGTAAGCTTCTCACCGGCTGCCGGAACCCCCTCCCCACCACGATACAAAGGCCTTGTACATCTATCTAGGCAGCAAAAAACGATTTTTGGAATATGACAAGGCATTTATTTAGTCAGCTGACTTAAAAACCCTGTTGGTACTAAACTTTTGAGGCCTCTTTTCCCTTTTACACGTACCACATTCATTCATCAAAGTACACTTCCACGGTACGTGCTCAAGGCCACGACTCGCCCCCTCCCCCCTCTACCCTAGCCCATGTTCCCGTCTTTTGCCTAGACTACTACTGTAGCCTCCTGATTGGTCAAACTGCTTGCACTCTTGTTCCCCAGACAGAAGTCAGTATTAAGTAAAAGGGCTTAGAGTTTTACTCCAGTGGTTCTTGTCAGACTTCGAATAAAACCCAAACATTTTACTGTATCTTGAAGACCCTCAAGTGCCCAAGCATTACTTTTCCAATCTGTTCTCCTGCCGTTCTAGCCCTTGCTTTTTCTGTGCCTGCCACACTTAACCCTCTTGCAGTTCCTGGAACACAGGCTCCTCCCTCCTGTCTTCAGGCCTTTGCACTTACTTCCCCTGTGCTTAGGAGCTCTTTTCATCACTCAATTCAGATGTTTACTTAGACATCACCTCAGAGGGGTCTTACCTATCTAAAATAGCTCCTCTCCCTACTAACAACTTATCACTACCTAAAATTATTTTGTGTTATTGTGGTTAGCTGCTTACTGCCAGCATCCCCACTTTAGAACGTAAATTGAATGTAGGTAGAGACTGTTGTTTACTCAGCATCTGGAAGACTGTCTGACTCATTTTATAAATGTCTTTAGTAATTGTTGAGTTGATAAATGCATGAGTACAAAGAAGAATCTCTCCCAATGTCTAATGGAAGAAGAGGAACATGGGACCCCTCCCCCCACCCCCTATCCCCTTATCACATTAAGTCACCTCTTCTGATCTGACAGTGAGTGACTTGGAGGGTGGGTACCAGGCAGGCAAGGTTCATTTAATGAGCATTAGCACAAAAAGATGGTACTGGTGTGAGATTGCTAGTCCAGAAAGGGCAGTCCTTGGAAATGCTGTGAAAGGGCTCAAATACAAACTCTTGAGTTCATAATTTGGTCAAAGGCTGCTTTTGTTCCTGGGAGCCCAGTGTTTTTGTGTATATGGTAAAATCTGGTGGATCATTTCACTGAGGTATGCCTCTGGTTCCACTTAAGGGTCCTCGGAAACCCATCCAATTCAGGATGGTTTCAGCTGTTTGTTATTAGCCTTGGAAACCTAGGTTTAGTCTAGGACACCCCTGCCCCCCCCCACCCCCAATTTACACCATCAAATTCTTGTACCAAGAGAACAATTGCAGTAGGGTTATTATGAACATAAACAACTCCTATGCTCATACTAAATTAATTTTTACATAATTATACTTGTCTCTGAAAAGGCACATTATAGTTTCAGTCCATTTGCACTGACCACCACTCATTGTATATTTATCATCCTGCTTTATTTCCACACTCAAAGCATGTATGGACAGCATCATTTGGTTAAATTAATTTTTTCTTATATTCAGGACCTGTCAATTTTCTCTTCTCCATAGTGTAAAGGGAGTGTAAAGCTTTGTATATCAATACAGTTGAGAGAGTTCGTGAAAAGTGTGGTGTGTGTATATTCAGTGTAGTTATATTATTCCTCTTCTCTTCAAAAATGTGAAGGTATCTTTGACTGGTTTCCTAATACTTGACAACTTAGGGTAACATTAAAGAGTTTGGGAAAGTTAAATTTTCTACTAACAAGCTATACTTTTTTAAATTTTTTATAGTGCATCACATGTGATTGTCTCTTTAGTAGAAGATTATCCAAACTATATGATCATAAATCTAGACAAGGTAAGTTTTAAAAAATGAGCTGCATGCACTGAAACTTATTTATATTTTTAAAAAGTGTTAGAATCCTGCCCTGCGGATATTTTAGTTTTTATATAATTTTAGCAAGTTAGGGGCCTGTATAGTCATGTGTTCATGCCATATTTAATTGTACATAAAATCTTTTGAAACTTTTTTGTTTATTGTGCTACCCCATAAAGTAAAGGTTTTAAGGGCAGTATTTTTATATAAAAAAAAATCTTCACCCTAACTTTATTTAGTATTATCTTGTGAACATTACCCTTTTTTGGAGTCAGGATACTCTGATTATTTGGTTTTATTATTTTATAACTACTACCTCATGGAAAATTATATATTTTTAAAATAAAAATGCAATTAAATTAATTTAGTTTCGAGAATTTTTTTGTAATAATTGGAGTCTCTAGAATCTCAAAGCCATGACTGGTAATCACTGATATTTTGACTTTAAACACATGATGCAATCAGTTACCTTCATTTCATAAAATGTAATAGTAAAAATGTATAGTCAAAGAATAACCCATAAGTCTTATGAATTTTTACCTGCCTTACCATCGTGGGCAGTAATTATTCCCCCATCTTATACTGATTTATCAACAGCTAACTCAGGAAAAAATGTAATGAGCTAAAATATGTATAATACCGGTGTAATTGTTTTCAATCACTAATTCCTTTTCAGTAAGGAATGGTAAACTTTTCTAGCCACCAAGGGCTGGAGACAAATTGAGGCAGGAAAATTTTTGAAAGGAGAGGTTTATAAAATGTGATTTTTTTTTTTGTATTTTGAAAAGGTAACAAGCTTACATGTTTTTTGCTTGTTTTTTTTTTACTTTTAAGATAACAGAAACTTCTAAAAACACAAAGAGTGAACACTTTAAGAAGACATGTTTTTATATTACAATAAGAGCATCTGTAGTCTTTAAAATAAATTGATATCTTATAGGAAAGACTATTAATCTTACTCTTTGTGTTGAACCTTTACCCTCACTCCACCTTACTTATTTTAAGCTGGATTACTGTGCAAGCTTGAAGAATCTTGAAACCATTTCGAGCAAACAAAACTACAAATTCATACAGGTATGAAAGTTTCTTATAATTATATAATTATTATACTGTACCGCTTTAGTTATTCAGACATATCTTCCTACTTTACAAACTTGTGAAATATGGATTTGGAAAGCATGCTAATTAAAGATCTTTTAGTTTCCAGTAGTACCACACGCTGTAGAGAATACTGCTTTTATGTTGATACCATATATAAAGTTACATGTGATGTTTGTTGCCTTGGCAGATCTATGAGTAGCTGATTGAACTTACATGGTTTGTGAGTTTTAGGTCGTCATTATCTTTCTTAATAAGGCCTTGCTGAGATTTATTTATTTTTATTTTTTATTTTTATTTTTTTTAGCTGAGCCATCCTGCCACCTGTTGGCAGCTAGGCTCAGGCCAGGAATCGAACCAGTGACCCTGTTGCCCAGAGCTCGCACTCTTGAGCGAGCGCTTAAACAGCTGAGCCACTCAGCCAGCCAAAAGACTTGCTGGGATTTAAAATATTGGTATAAAAAGTGGGGTGTTACTCAGGCCAGCAATAGCCAAAAAGGCCACCATACAGCCCATGGGGTAGTCTTCTTCCATGAAAGTTGATTGTTTGGCTCTGGAAGATCGATTCTTACTAACCACTCTTTGAAGAGTTTAAAGTATAAACCAGAGAGCTAGATGATTCATTTGCAAATAAATTTTTTTTAATTTTTTTTTATTAGTTTCAGGTGTACAAAACAGTTCAATAGTTATACTTTTTACCTCTCACAAAGTGACAACCCCTTCCCCAATCCACCATCCCGCTCCTCTCTCCCCTGCAAACGGAAATTTTAATATCAAATGCAACTGTTTGTTTTACAATTTGTGGTTTTTTAAAAAGTAATTCTAGAAACTCTCTTTTTAACCACAAATCTCAAAGAATATACTAAGCAAACATTTCTTAATTCTCTTCCATATGAAAGTGTTTCCTTCTGTCACCAAAGTATTGTTGAGAATACATATTTTTAGAACTAACTATACATATAACATCAAAAGTACTCATAAGTTTACTTAGTGGTGATTAAATATGTTTTTCAAAATGTCATTCCAGTTCTTGTACTTACTTTAAATATATTTCAGTAATGGTTATCTCAAACGTTTAAAAATACGTTTAACATTTTTCCTGTTAACATAGTGACCTTAGATTGGCAAGAATGTCATTTTTTTTCTTCCAGTTTTTGTAAGTCCTTTATAGTATGTATTCTGGATTCAAGCCTTTTGCCACTACCTTTTTTTCAATGTGTGGTTTGCCTTTTCACTTTCTTAATGATATATTTTGATCTTAGTAGTAGCTGGTGCTCAATAAAACACTGTTTTAGACATTTATTTGTAAAAAAAACTATATTGAATTGGATATCATATTCTAGGATGCTAGAGAAATTCATCATTACCGTATTTACCTGACCCTTTGGTCGAGTTTTCAAGATATTCTCTATTAAACTTGAGGGGGGGAGATTAATTCTTTTCTTCTTATCATTTTGTTGTTGTTCACACAGTAAAATGGTTTTTATGGATGGGGATACTGAAACAGCTTTTTCATGCTTGCTTTTGATATAGGGTGACATATGTGATTCTCACTTTGTGAAACTGCTTTTTGAAACAGAGAAAATAGATATAGTACTCCATTTTGCTGCACAAACGCATGTAGGTAAGCATTGTTTTATGTTACAGTTACGATAGGCAAAGTTTTGTTTCCAGTGGCTGACTAGCCTGAATCAAAGTCCAGTAATGGGGCTGAATAAGTTGGTACTTAATATATGTCTTTGAAAGAGCATATACCAAGGTAAAACAAACCTGGGGTCACTCTGTTGTCAAGATACTTGCCCTTTTTGGGTCACTTTTATTCGGTAGGTTGAAATGTAACCTTGAATGTTGTTTTAAAACTTTGAGTTTAACCAAATTCAGGATAGTGATTTCTGATTTCTTCTGGGGAGATGAACCTTTAAAATGTGTTTTTTATGTTGTTTTTCTTAAGCTGACTCTTGGCTACGAGGTTGAACATTATATTATTATCTATACTGTTTTGTCCGTATGATAATTTGTCTAACATTTTATATTGTGAAATATAACATATATTCAGAAGAATTTAGAAGTGAAGTTAAATGAATACTGATATAGTGAATGCCCATGTAACCATCACGTAAACAAAAGATAAAATGTTGCTGAACACTGTTTAGTTTAGTAGTATTACTATTGCCTTAACCTGATTCTGAAGTTACAGTTTCCCTTGGCTTTCTCTACAGTTTTACTGTCTATATATAGTATTTATTCAAAAACAGTAGGTTAGTTTTACCTGTTTTTAAATTTTATAAAAATGAATATATAAAATAACATGTAGGGTTTTTGGTGTTGCTTTTCATCCATATAGATCTATCTATGTAGTTGGGTAGAGGTGTAATTTGTTCACTGTGACATACAATATTCCATTCTACGTGTATACCACAATTTGTGCCTCAGTTTTACTCTTGTGGACATTTGGACTGTTTACACTCTAGGCAATTGTGAACAAATGGTCCATAGAAGCATACATTTTTCTCAGTATATTACTAGAATCATAAGATTTGCACACTTCAACATTGAGATAATGTCCAACTATTGTCTAAAATAGTTGTACCAATTTCCACTCCTCTAGGAGTGTCAGAGACCTGTTGCTCCAGATTTCACCAAAGCTTAGTTTTCTCAGACTTTTCCATTTTTGTCAGCCTGAGTAGTGTGTAGCGGTTTCTCATTGTGGTTTTGATTTGATTTCTCTGATTACTGTTGAAGCTGTGTACCTTTTATGTATATATTGGCAATTTAGATTTCTTCTTTTGTAACATGCTATTGAAATCTGTTGCTCTTTTTAAAATTGGGTTATTTACTTGTCTTCTCATTGATTTGTAGCAGTTTTGTATATAAATTCTGGATACTTTGTTATGTGTGTTACAAATATCTTCTTCCACTCTGTGGCTTATCTTTTCATGTTTTTTCTAGTTTGTTTTGATGAACAGACCTTAATTTTTATGTAGTTGAATTTATATATCTTTTCCTTTATGTTATGGTTAATATGTTATGTTATATCTTTATGTTTGGGTCTTAAGAAGTTTTCTCTTGTCCCAAGGTCATGAAGATAATCTGTATTATCTTTGAAAAGCTTTATAGTTTTATCTTTCACATTTAGATTTGTAATCCATCTGAAATTGATTTTTATGTACAGTATGAGATAGGAGTCCAATTTCTGATCTGGAGTTAGATGCACTACAAGGTATCTGATAGGAGTCCAATTTCTTTTTTTTCTATTTGTATACCAGTTGGATCTCTACCATTTATGGAAAAGTTCACCAGTTTCCACTGCCCTGTCATATATCAAGTATCCTTATATGAGTATCTGCTTGTTGAATCTTCATTTGTCTATTTGTCTCTACCTGTGCTGATTATGCTGATTACAGAATTTATGGATTAATTATAGTGCCTTGATATCTGGTAGAGCAAATCCTTCTACTTGGTTGATGATAAAATAGCTGTATACTCCTTCTAGCAATTATGAATTGCTTATCAACCTTTGCTGTTGTCAATATTTCATAGTTTTATTTTATTTTCCCCTGATTACTAATGAGGTTAATTAAAAACCTTTGCACTTGTTTATTGGACTATCCTCCCCCTTTTCCTATTGGTATGTCTTCTTTGGAAAGTTTCTGTTTACGTCTCTTTACCATTTTCCAGTGGGTTGTCATTTTTATCCTTACAGTTTTTGTAAGTTCTTTATATATTCTGGGTTCAAACCTTTTGCCACTACCTTTTTTCAATCTGTGGTTTGCCCTTTCACTTTTTTTCTTGGGGAAGTGGGGGTGAGGGGATGGAGAATAAAATCTTTATTGGCCCCACGTTAAATTATATACATAAACTCCACTCCCCTACATACTGGACAGCTTAATGTTCCTTATGTTTCATTTCTTCAAATACATCTTAAGTTGCTTATTTACACAATAGAAACAATGTCCAATGTCAAAAAAACATACTTCTCTAGTTTAAAACTATTGGAATTAGTCTCAGAAGAGCTCACTTAACTGAACTTGATATTAGATCTTTCTCAGATTATTCTGTGACATCTCCCAATTTTGCATGATGCTTGCAATACCCGTAAGCTGTCAATCAGTTCTTCTGGTCTTTATTTAAGGTGTGATGAAGAAAGAAGATGGAAGTGGATTGAGATAAAAAGGATAGTTTTGTATATGTTCATGTAGTGACACATTCAACACATAAGTGTGAAAGAGGAGGAAGTACCTCTGCAACAAACTGTCTCTGCTCTGGGTTATTAGCTCACCCCAGGGGCCTTGACTTTCTCATCTCTATGACAGACTCATCCTAGAATCTTTCTGGTTCTTTTTTCACTCCAATGTTCTAAAATTTGGTTTTAATTTAAGATGCACAACCTGAAATGCCTTTTCCCTTTCTGAATGGTGTCTTTTATTCAATTGAGGTTCTTCATTTAAATGAGGTACAGGTTATCAACCTTTTCCTTTAGGATTAGTACTCTTTCCTACCTCCAAGATCATGGAAACATTCTCTATTACTCTATTCATAAAAGTTATAGTTTTGCCTTTTACATTCAGATTTCTTCCCCATATCAATGTCAGTTTGACTCAATACCATTTATTGAAATACTCAGCCTTTCCCCCTGCCACCTTTGTTGTAGATGAGTGCCCATTCATGCATGGTTCTATTTCTGGGCTCCTGTTCTGTGCCATTGGTTTTGGTCTATCCTTACGCCATTACCACACTGTCTTAATTACTGTGACTTTATAATAATTCTTGATACAAGCAAAGCAAACCCACCTTTTTGTTGTCCCAGAAAATTATCTTTGACTTTGTTGATCTTTTCTATTGTGTGCTTGTTTTCTACATAATGAATTTCTACTCTTAAAACTTTATTATTTCATTATTTCTAGTTCAAGATTTTTTTCTCTATCTTCTTGTGATAATATTTAGCTTATTTTCAGCTTTTCTCTAATATGTACATTTTAGACTACAAATTTACTTTTAAATACCACTTTACCTGAATCCCACAAGTTTCAAGTGCATTACTTTATTTTTTTCAGGAATTGATTTCTTTTTTCAATCCATGGGTTACTTAAAAGTGTATATCTTATTTTCCAAATATATATGAATTTTTTGGTTACCTTTTTATTATTTCTAGCTTAATTGTATTGGTTTGATGACATGCTGTATGATTTCAGCTCTTTGGGCTGAAACTTGCTTTTTGGCTTAATGTATGGTCAATTTCTGTAAATATTCCATGTGTATTGTAAAGAATGTGTACTCTGCAAAAGTTGGGTACATTACTTTTTACACATCCATTAGGTTAAAGTAAGTTGGTTAGTAATTGTGTTCTTCAAATCTCCTGTGTATTTCTGGTGAATTGAACCTTAGGAAGTGATCTTTCTTCCTTGATGATGTGGGCTGCATTCAAGTCCATTTTGTTTGGCATTAATATAGTTGTGTCACCTTTTGGTTATTCTTTTTATGATATGTCTTTTTCCATAGTTTTACTTCTAGCCTCTCTCTGGCTTTATGGTTTAGCTGTGTGTCTTATAAACAACTGGTGTTTGGATTTTTAAAAATTTTTTTATCCAGTCTGACCATCCTTAATATATTTACCGTAAGTATTGAGTTCGTTGATATATTTGGATTTATTTCTACCATCTTACTATGTTCTTCCTATTTTTTCTCACCTGTTCTGTTTCTTAAAAAAAAAAAGGTTTTTAAAATCCTTTCTTGCCTTTTTAAAAAATTCTTTTTAAAA